TGCATGCACTAAAGAAAGAGGAGCTTCTACTTCCTGCAGCTGCTGCTGCTGCTGCTGCTGTTGCTGCTGCATCTGCTGCTGCATCTGCTGCTGCAGCATCTGCTGCTGCTGCTGCTGCTGCTGCTGCATTTGTTGCTGCTGCAGCAAGGCCTGCTGCAGCAAGACAGGTCTGTCTTCTCTCCGCAGCGGAGCAGCAGCAGCACCCAGGTGTGGTATTGCTTCTTGGTTTGCTGCTACGTGCTGCTGCTGCTGCTGCTGCTGCTGCTGCTGCTGCTGCTGCTGCTGCTGGCCTGAACGCTGCAGCAGCTCGAATGCCAGTTGCAGCACCAGCTGATCTTCGTTACACATATTTGCTGCTTGGGGCTGCTGCTGCTGCTGCTGCTGCTGCTGTTGTTGTTGCTGCTGCAGCAGCTGCTGCAGCTGTTGCAGCTGCATGGGATCTGCAGTCTGCTGCAGATTATGCAGCTGCTGCAAGTGCTGCTGCTGCTGCTGCTGCTGCTGCTGCCGCATTTGCTGCAGCTGCAGCTTCACCTGCTGCTGCTGCTGCTGCTGCGGGAATATATGGGGGTGCTGCTGCAGATATTGCTGCTGCAGCTGCTGAAGGTGTTGCTGCTGCTGCTGGTGGTGCTGCTCGTGGATGCGCTGCTGCTGCAGCTGATGCTGCTGCTGCTGCTGCAGGTGCAGCTGGTGTTGCATGTGCTGCTGCTGCAGAGCGGGTAGCAGCTGCTGCTGCTGCAGCTGTTGCTGCTGCAGCAAATGCTCTTGCTCTGGCTGCTGTATGTTCTGGCGGTGCAGCTGCTGCTGCCGCAGGTGTTGCTGCTGCAGCTGGTGCTGCTGCTGTTGCTGCTGCTGCAGGTGCTGCTGCTGCAGCAAATGTTGCTGCTGCTGCAGCTCTATCAAACGCTGCCGCAGCAGCTGCTGCTGCTCATTCATACTCTTGTCATCTCGTTTGCCTGCTGCTGCAGCTTCGCTCATGCCAGAGCTCAGCTGCTGCAGCAGCAGCAACTGCTGCTGCTGCTGCTGCTGCAGCAGCTGCTGCTGCGATCCTGGTGCTGCAGCAGCTAACTGTGGGTCGTTGGTTTTGCTTAGTTTGTGCTGCTGCTGCATTTGCTGCTGCTGCATCTGCTGCTGCAGGTGTTGGAGAAACTGGCGTTGCTGCAGTTGCTGCTGCTGCAGTTGCTGCTGCTGCAGCTGTTGCTGCTGCACAGCAGCAGCAACTGCAGCAGCAGCAGATTGCTTCCTATCGTGTGCTTCTTGCTGCGCTTCTGACGAGCTGCGTTTTTGTTTTCCTTTGCCTGAGCCCCCTCTTCTTCCTGCTTTCTTTGTGCTGCCTCTCTGCTGCTGCTGCTGCTGCTGCTGCTGCTGCTGCTGTTGCTGCTGCTGCGGCTGAGGCTGCTGCTGCTGCTGTAGATGCTGCAGTTGGTGCTGCTGCTCCTGCAGCGGCTGCTGCAGCGCTTGTGCCGGCTGTTTTGGCTGCTGTTGCTGCACTTCGTGTTGCTGCTGCTGCTGCTGCGGCTGCTGCTGCGGTTGCTGCTGCTGCTGCTGCTGCTGCTGCTGGGGCTGCTGCTGCTGTGTCAGTTGCTTCGTTTTCTGCTGGTTATGTTGTGGCTGTTCCTGTTGCTGCTGAGGTTTCGGTTGCTGTTGCTGCTGCTGTGGTTGCTGCTGCTGCTGCTGCTGCTGCTGTTGCTGCTGCTGCTGCTGCTGCTGCTGCTGCTGCTGCTGCTTCCTCTCTTGCTGTGCTGTTGGGGCAGCTGTCTTTTTGTTTTTGTCTTTGAGACTTTCCGTTTTTGTTTGTCTGAGAAGAGAGGAGTTTTTGTTGTTGCTTTTGTTGCTGCTGTTGCTGCTGCTGCTGCTGTTGTTGCTGT